ACTATATTATACCCTATATAACCCCATATAACCTTTATATGTAAACCCTACAACAGCTCTTTGCCCCAAGCCGAGCTCAGGAAGTCCGTGCTTTTGACGCAGTCCACGCACCCAAAGTACCAAACCCGAATCGACGAAATCTGTGCCTCGGCGAGGTCTGAAGTCATTGGGCTGCTTCTTTCATCATATTTTTGTAGGATTTGGGGGTTTGGGGTTGAAGGTATATTGGACTCGAATTGACGAAATCTGTGCCTTGGCGAACTTGTGGCAGTGAATTGGCAAAGGTTAGAAGTCACTGGGCTGCTTCTTTCAACGACGAGGAGAAAGACATTCAAGCAGCCCCTAAAGCCGAAAAACTAAACACATTCATGGCAAGATTTATGTTTGATCGTATTGCAGTCAAAAAAAGATAGCGCCCTGGTTGCTACTTCCTTTTCCATCGATGGCCATCATGATTCTGAGCGGCATCGCAGACATAGCTATCAAGGCGTACTCAAAGAATCTAAGCCCCTAAAACCTAAACCCCAACAGCCTTTAGTAGGCAATATGGGGAATATAATCCCTATATACTATCTTCAATTATTCCCCAATAACCCACCAGTAAGAAAGATCTTTCCATATAACCTCCAACATGCCATAGTAGTTTCCATTTTCTTTTCCATCATTCCTCAGATATAACCCCAGTACATGCCGTAACCCTACATATAAGCGCAAAAAAAATATGCGCTCAATATGTACCCTGAACCGTAAACCCTATATCTATATATATAAAACCCTAAACCCTAAACCCTAAACCCTACCAAGTAAACCCTCCGAGGCAATGTGTGTGAAAAGCCCTTCAAGGAGGAGTTCAAACCCAGGAGCCGGCGAGAGGCTGGGGGGACCAGCCTGGATTCGGGTTTAGGCTTTTAAGGTTTAGGGTTTAGGGTTTAGGATTTAGGGAGGTTTCTAAGGTTTTAGGGTGAAGTGCAGGGATTTAAGGTTTTAGGTGTTTAGGGGTTTGAGGCTGGATGTGCGCACGGGTTTCATGTGGGAAGCTTCAAGACATGAGCGAAAGTCTAAACTCGTTAAAGGGGTTTTGTAGGGTTTTAGGGTTCAGGGTCTAAACTCCTCGAAGTCGGTTATAGGGGAGTATGGAAGGGGCTACAAAAGGACATACTGGGAGTTTAGACGATAGCTCACACGAATGTGAAGGGGCTCCCAGCACTTTAGGCCTTAGGAGTTTTGGGCTGTTAGGGTTTAGGGTTTGGGGTTAAAGGGAGGGACCTAGTGGGAGCTTCAAAGCAGGGAGGGGGAAAGTATATGTAGCTGTACTTGGGAGAGTGTGTATTTGGGGATGGTAGGGCGTGTGCAGAAGGCTTCTATCAGGTGTAGGGTGTGAGATTTGGGAAATGTGTGACTTTTTTCGGGAGGCCTTGACAGAAACCTGCGCATGCTTGTCTTACGCTTTGTCTTTCATGATCCCTCATGATCCTGAAGGGGCGGGCTGGTAGCTGTGGGGTTTCTTTTGTATTGAAGAAAAGGTTGGCTTTTATACACAGAAAACAGCATAGCTCACAATTGTATGCTCCTCTGGGTTATCGTGCTTTATAAGAAAGAGAAGGAGATTTTCTTACGTCGTTCCACCACCATGACAAGCACGAACTTACTCAACGATCTATTTGGGAGGATCTAGAGAGGGCAACATCGATTTTTACACCTCGAGCCCTGAAATTTTCTACGCAGGATGCCCTCAAAAGGGATGTGAGAGATAATGTAGGGGCCTAAGTGATGACTCAGTATATAATCCAAAAAAATGGAGACTCAAATGGACACGAAACTTGAAAATGAAAAGTAAACTGAATTTGCGTGGGGGTGTATGGGATAGGCTATAGGGGCCAAATGATCACCAAGAGTAGAATGATATTTTCCTTTTCAAGTCTGAACGGGTACTTATTCAAGCAAGCATAAGCTAACCCCACATCTTACATGCTATACTCCCCCCTACACTTTCACCCCATTT